ACAACATCTGGTGTTAAGATCTTAAGCGGAAGGCACTACAGCAGTGCAGTAGCATAATGGACGAGGTTGACGTAGAGGTGGCGCCGTGTCTAAATGCAATTAGCGGCTCGAGTCGCTTCTGAGCTCCATTTCCGCCAGAATTTGCGCATAGCGCCGTCTTGATGAGCGCAGAGCAGCAGCCGTGGACAAGAGGTGTACATAATCCACTGCTTGAAAGTCGAGGGTACGTAGGAAAAGGGAGAGGCGGCGCGATTTCTAATCATATCCACATGAATTATGAAGTCTAATAGTAGAGTAAGAAGGGATCATGGAATTGCTTAGGAAAAAAACTTGGAAAAATTTGCTTCCCAATTTTTGATTCCGATGTACAGGGTTATTAGAGTGCCAAAAATGAAGGAAAATGAGAAAGATATGGTAATTTGTGAAAAAAGAGGTGGGCCAGTTTGAAGAACTAATTCAATAGATATGATGTATTAAAATACCAAAATATTAGTGTACAGCATGCAAAATTTGACTTTACTTTCTTACAAACTTTAATTTGAACAAATTTCTGAATTGAGCAATAAACTCTTAATTCAGATTATTTTCGGTGCAAAAAGAAACGAAGGCGAAGTAGGAAATCTATGCCAAGTATTAAATATTTGGTTAAGATGATAGCCATACAAAGGAGAACAAAAAAGAAGTTCTCTGAGCAATTTCTTGTGCTCTAATCTCTGAAAAGGAAGCTATTTGGAGGCAAGAAGATCTGACATACAGTTATTTAGCATTGAATAAAATACGTATGACATTGAAAACTGTAAGCATTTTCTTGAAGAACATTTGGTAACTCATTACTCAGCGGTTTTGAAAAAAAAAATCAAATGCCAAAACGAATTCAGGCTGTTTGAAAAAGTTAGAGTTCAGGCAAGGTAATTATGAAGAATAAACTGAGCAGATCCTCTAAACACAGGAAAAATAAAGATTTTAAAATAAGGAATGTCCCAAAAGGGTCTTGAGCAGTCCAAGGCGATCTGGCAAAATTGATGTTAAGATTATAATTCCAAGAAATCAAAATCTATTGAAATCAAAATTAAGATAGAATCGTTAAAATAAAGAAGCACGACTTCATAACGAGAAGGTTGAAGGGAAAAGGGCAACCACCAACTTTTTGACATTATAAAAGTGTATCTAGATATCTACTTATGCAGTTGCATTTGTTAAAATTTCTCAATAAATATGGAAAGGAACAGAATTTCGAATTTACAACATTGCTGATCGTGTTTAGAGTACTTATGAGTGATGTTACTTGCTGAACACTACCCAAAAGTGAAAAATATGATAAAAGAATAGTGCTTGCATAGTATTTAAGCCAATACT